GCTTGAAGCCGAAATCCGAAAAGCCTAACCTGAACCTTACCCCACGACTTGAGAAGAAGGCTGGCGGGCGTGCTTGGCATACCCGGCTCCTTCGTCGTCTGCAAGCAGACGCGCGCTGGCGGTGCCTTTGGGCCCAAAAACAGCCGGCAGGCGCCGGTGGCGGCCATGGCGGCAGTGGCCGCACACAAGCCCCTGGCACTGTATAATATAGGGTTTAGATTTTAGGGAAGGCCCTAAACTCTAAACTCCAAACCCCATACCCGAAACCCTAAACCCCAAAACCCTAAACCCTAACCCTACACCCTACACCCTACAGCCTACACACACCCAAGCATTCGACCAGGATGGAGAAGCCAGTGCGAGTGGCCTATGAGGCAACCTTGGAGCAAAATGCTGTGGGTGGACGGCACAACTTCAAGACAAACTACAAGGCACACCCGTAGTTTAGGGTTTAGGGTTTAGGGTTCAGGGTTCAGGGTTTAGGGTTAAGGGTTGAGGGTTGAGGGTTTAGGGTTTAGGTTTGAGGGTGTAGGGCTGAGGGTTTAGGGTTTAGGGTTTAGGGTTGCCGGCTTGGGGTTTCGGTGGTTGCCGCCTTTTTTTTGAGGCCAGTTCTTGCTTGACATGACGCTTTGACAATAAGTAAGGCATGTTCAAGCCTAGTCACTTCGACAGTAGTCACTTCGACAGGTGGGTGTCAACAAGGACGGCAGAATACAAGCGCCGCCTGACTGCAGTCTTAGGGTATCGGGTTTAGGTGTTGGGGTTAGGGTTTTGGGTTTGCGTTTAGGGTTTAGGATTTAGGGTTTAGGGCTGGCTGTAGGTGTAAGGCTTTGGGAGGTGTCCCCGGCCTTAGAATTGCTACATAGGTAAATTCCAAAAATAGAGGGTACCCTTAATATACCCCAACATAGAAGAATCCTTATTCGAGGAACCTTCAAAAGGTTACCCCTATTGTCGGAAACCCCCACATATTCCCAAGGTGCGATATCGAGTCCTGGTGCAATGGTGGGTGCACGCACGACTTCACTGGCTTTCTGAATCTGGAAATGGGAGAAGCAATCCCCTCCGTGTACGACTGGCCCAACATGAGGGTCAACGTTCATGCTGCTTGGTCTGATTGGTTGCGAGGCGGCAGGTCCGAAGCGCGTACGCCCAGGAAGCTCTCCAACAGTCGCGCCAAAGTCTTTCCTGTCCGGCCTTCGTCAGTTTGTGTGGCATGAGATTAAGGGTAATATTGTCACTTGTTTCGACGTGAATAATGATATCTCAGTATAGGTGACATCAGTGCTTGAACTGCGAGCAAAGATGTAGAGACGTAAAGATGAGTTGGCTTCTATCCTGTTCAAGCTGCCTGCAAGAACTCCGAACATGGCTCATATGTCCACTTTGTTCTGCTACTTGTTTGCTACTATGGCTCTTGTTTTGCTATTTAGAGATGAGCGTCCTGACCATCCAGTCGGCGGCGCAACTACCGCTGCTGTACGTAGGAGATTTTTATGCGTGCTCTGGTGAGGATTGTGGTTGTTTCGGCTCGTCCTCTTTGATTTGTGTTGCTGCGCCGCTCCAAAATTTTTGAAATCGGTGCTAGGATTAACCATGTATAAGATATCTTCCATTTTTTGCTATCCCGTGCCTTTCTTCCAATTGACGTAATCTTGCAGTGCCCACTTCTCCATGTATATATTCATCTTGTGTGTATATTGGGGTTGTTTGAAAGTATGGTGCCTTTTCGGAAGAGTTTCTAGAATATTCCTTAGTGTTTAGGTGCCACAAGTGGCCCATGATTTGGATCCACCCCCCGCCCGACAATACTTCTAATTGGGGAGTGGGGGGGGGGGAACTCATGGCTCTAAAAGGCGATGAAGACCAACACCCCCAGCAACACGGCCGTGCGCTCTTTCGGCAGCCCACAAGGACACTCGGTTCTCTTTGTCATGTTTCTGTTTCGGTGTTGTGGGCTCTTGGTAGTCCGGGGCTCAGATGCAGTCGGTAATGCTGCGTGGACTTAGGATACTTCGTCTGCGAAGCAATCATCGAGGACATCGCCGGAAGGCAGGCAGTGTGCCATGAAAGTCAAGCATGTCAATGGGTGACGGGGATGCTACTCTAGTACTTGCCCAGGCCCTAAACCAGAATGGTTCTAACCCTAATAACGCTTTAAGCCAAGAACCTAACAACCCTGCGCTCTTACAAAGAACACCGACGAACTCTCAAAGCACTGCGTCGCCGGAGCGAGGCTGGGCAAAGTGGTGGAGGAGATCCGCGAGATCAACATGTGCACCAAGCAGAACGCGGTAACACCCTGGGGCCAGCCGATGGAGTACTACAATGACGCGACCTCAGTTGCGGGGTGTTTACTTAGAGTCTAGTCCAGGGCTCAGAATTGTTTTAATAACCCTAAACCCTAAACCCTAAACCCCTAAACCCTAAACCTTAAAATTAAGGTTTAGGGGCTGCTTAGGGGTTGTTCAGGGCCTGCTGCGGAACGCATTGTGCGGCTGTGTTTGCGGTCTTGCCCACTTGGCTCCCCAGATTGCGGCCCAAAGGCCCCCCTCTCTCTGTGGAATTAGGGTTTAGGGTTTAGGGTTTAGGGTTTAGGGTTAGACCTAATGAAGTGAAGGTGGACACCCTGTGGAAGAAGCTGAAGCAGGCCAGATGATTCAGCGAGTGGACCTCCTTGTTAGGAGTTTTTGTCAAGTTAGGCCCCCCTGCAGGCAATTTTTGACATCGACCTCATCGGGAACTCTCTCCCACACTCCCAGAGTGAGTACTTGAGAACACTCCCCAGAGACTACTTGAGAACACGCCCCATACGTGTACGTAGGGAGTAGGGTTCTGAGGCTAATGCGATGCTTGCAGGATGCAAAGTACGAGGAGCGGGCGAAGACGTGCGAAGAGTTCAACAAAGCGAACCGCTGGCGCAAGCGCGCGATCAGTGCCCAAGCCACATTCGACCAGTACTGGATCGCGGGCGGGGCCCCACACTCCAAACCCGGTCCCAAATAGTTCTTGTACAAGTAATCTAAACCCGGGCCCTACACTAAGCTGGGGTTCTAGGGTTATTTGACTCCTTCCTCTGCAGCGCTGAAAGATGCGCGGAGATTTCTAGGGGGTTCGAAGCTCTCCTTTCTTCCACACAGTGATACAAAGTGTTATTAATTGAGACCTTTGCATTTGAGTCCCGAATTCCCGCAAATCCACCCGAAAAGTCCGAAAGCAAGGGCCCCAAACTCCTCCCCCCGAACCCTGAAACCAATAGACCTCAAACCGGGGATGCCCACTTGTACCCCGTAAACCATAAACCCTACTTAAACCCTATATAAACCCTATATAAACCCTAAACCCTAAACCCTAAACCCGAAGCCTTTTTTTGGAGGGTTCGAGGTTGGGTTCAGCCTCATTGAGCAAGGCAGGTACCTTGTTTTCCGGAAGCCAAGTAAGGCGCCGTACCGCTAGCCTATGGCCACTGCTACGCCTATGCAGCTGGGACAGGGGCCCTGGTCAACATCCACGGCCGCATGCCGCAAGAAGGGAGAAGCGTCTAGGGTTTTTAGGGGTTAGGGTGCCTTTGGGGGCTGATTGAGAGCCTCTTGGGGAGTATTCGGATTGAGGGTTTGGGGGTTTGTGGGTGTGATGTTTGTCCTCGTGGGGACATCATCACCGGCCGCCAAAAAGTTGGGGTGGGGTCGGTTCCTTCCTTACAGCACTATACAGCCTCGTCGCTGCTTGGGCACTTAAACATGCAACCGGTGCCCTAACCCTGAAGTAAGTGGAAAAGGCGTACTTCTGGGCCGCCAGCGTGCCCTCCCCTCGTGTCGGAAGGCTGCTTCAGGAGGGGGGGGTGGGTGCGCGCCTTCATTCCCCCGAAAGTACCCTAAACCCTAAACCCTAAACCCTAAACCCTAAACCCTAAACCCTAAACCCTAAACCCTAAAGCCTAAAGCCTAAAGCCTAAACCCTAAACCCCAAACCCTACACCCTAAACCCTGAAAGGATTCATAGCCAAGGCTCGGATGGATCTGTCACGGTTCATCATGGCGGCTGCGAGATCGGACAAGGACCCAAAGAGTTCTTCAAAAGAGAGTCATCCCTATCGAAGCCCTTGCCTCTGAGTAAGGATTTCTTAGCTATAGCTAAGGCCTAGAAATAAGGACCCAACCCTTATGCAGCACGAGTAAGCCCGCGGCTGCAGGAATCCACACAAAGGTGGCCCAGGTGGTTGCAATTTCCCTTGGCTGTCCACTGGACCTTGTTCGCGTGGCCGACACCAACAGCGAGGTGCCTTCCACGGACATGTGTCCTTTTTTGGGGAGTGCCAGGCTTGTGGGTGGATCTGAGATGACGTTGCTCAGCAGAAGCACCCGTGAGCGTGAGCACGCAATGTTACTCTAGTGAGCTGTAGCGCGCGAGATGCATGATGGCAGCTCCTCCTCCCCCAAACCCTACATTTCCCAAGCCCTAAACCCCTAAGCCCTAAACCCCAGAGCTTACGTCCCAACAGCCAAGTCCACATCCAGTGCAGGTTGTTCCCAATGCACGCTTCACAGGGGGCTCCATTACCACGGAGGTGGTATGTGAAGCAGCAAGACAGGCACGACCATGTCTTATGGAGATGCATGTTTTCTTGGAGAGAGCACTCGGAGTTTCTTGCTGATACCGCCACATACTTATTACCTGGACCGGACCACATTTTCTGTCCAGTGACTTTTTGCATCTGTCAGCCTCCCTGCCTCAGGCTTGCAAGCAGCTGCTGCAAACCTTGAAGCCTCACAGGGAGTTCCTGAAGAAGCGGGATGATAAGGAGCCTCTGTTTCACTCTGAGGTGGTGGACTTTCAAGGTTCGTGGCGACAAGTTCAGGGTTTAGGGTTTAGGGTTTAGGATTTAGGGTTTAGGGTTTAGGGTTTAGGATGTTTAGGGTTTAGGGCAAGATGCTTCAGATGCTTGGACTGGTGCAGGGGTTTGGGGGACAGGGTGCTCGTACCGCGCCCCTTCACCCTTGGGGCTGATCTTAGTGGTCCATAGTGGTCCCTCCGGCGCAAGATGCGCCCAGGCAGGCGAACGTATAGCTTAGAATATACATGTTTTCCGTGACATTGTCGCACAGCAACCCGATGTGCCACGCTCCCAAACCCATGTACCCTAAACCCATGTACCCTAAACCCTAAACCCCAAAACCTCTCAGCTTGAGGATCCATCCTGGCCTGAGTTGGTTGCCGCGGCGAACACCGTGCTCGGCCATCAGGAGAAGTTGTCGGCAACAGGCCATGACAGTATCCACAAGAGCTGCGGTTCAGGGTTCGGGTGTGGGGTTTTGGGATGAGGGGGGTTGAGGCTTTAGGGCGGTTGGGGGAAATATGCGCTGCTAAGGCAAACAGACATGCCCAGCAAGACAATTTGCAAGCAGCGTTCTTGTAGCGCTGGCTTGACGTCTCGTGAAGGTATCTTTGCGCCAACTGGCAACAAGCAGCTCGGCCACAGAAAGCGGCACCATGCCGGACGTAAAGAGCCACGGCCTTTGGTCCTTTGCCAAGCGTAGACAACCCTAACCCTAAACCGTCAACCCGAAACCCCGACAGGTACACCACGGATGTGGAAGGCAATACATTGGGCAAGCATCATGGAGACTATTTCACGTATGGAGCAGGCGCTGCTGGGGTGTGGCCGCTGTGACATGTGCCATGATGAACGTAATCTACGATTTGCTTAAGAACCCCCCCCCCCCCCCCCCCCCCCCCCCAACAAAAAAAAAAGGGGATGTAGATAGTAATGTTACCCATATGGGCACGGCCCAAAACGCTAGGCTTGTAACAGGCACCCGGGCGGCCACGGCGCGACAAGGGTAGTTTGTAACAAAAACCAGTTCTTGCGACAAGCCTTGCGCGACAAGGCTTGCGAGAAGGGGCGTTTTCTAGAATGCTATGCGACAAAGGTTTGAAACATAGCTGGCGCGACAAGGGTTTGTAACAAGATGGGGGCCGGCCCCCCGCGACAAGGGGGGTATTGGGCCAAGCCCATATAAGGAAGATTATATTCTGCTCTTTGGGGGGGTTCTGAAGAAAAGGGTAGTACTCGTAATCTGCACTCGCTCTGGTTCAGGAGTTTCGGAAGTGGAGCTGGACGTGCTGACTGGTGAAGTCAGGAGAGCAGCGTTACTGGGCGGGTAGGTTCTACAGGGTTTGGGCTCACTCCTAGCTATGACTCTGACATGTTGATGATGGGTTTCAGGACCCTGCGCTCAGACATCCTTTATGATGTTGGACAGTCCATCAACCCCGGCATTGATATTGGCCAACTGGAAGGTGCTTTCGTCTGGGGCGACCTCGCATGCAAATATGGGGGCTTACGAAAACAAGGGACCCCTAATCTAGTCCCCCAAATCGTAGGATTCCCTTGTAATAAGGCCCCCCAAGAAGGTACCCCCCTAATTTCGGGAATTCCCATATGTTGGAGGTGTATGCAGGAGATGCCAGATGGCCTTGCACTGTCTTGCGCTCAGGTATTGGCTACTACATGTACGAAGAGCCGCTCCGAGACACCCGTGGGGTGGAGCGTTCCCAAGGTGTTTGGGCCTACAAGCCCCCGATGGCCGCGGAAGTTCCCGTCGAGCTGCTTTGCGTTATCATGGTTCTCTTTAAGCCCGTAACATTTTTACATTAGTGCGATGATTCTTGTTTATATTATGTTAGTAGTTCAGATTTTGGTTGTGAATGCTGTTACTACAAATATGGCGTCAGGCCGGCGACTTGTTGAAGTTTGTTTGTCCATGGCCATGGTGGTCGACAGACCCAGGTTCCGCGTTGAGCTGCTGCGCGACAATCCCTTCCCAAAGGGAGTATTGGGCTCCAAAGCGATTGGAGAGCCACCGTTCATGCTGCCTTGCTGCATTCCGCTGAACGCGCGCGCGCGCGTGCGCGCGCGTCGCCTGTGCTCACACCCTGCAGATAAACATGTCTCAGGCTGGCATACAGTGTTCTCGGAGCAGCCAAGAAGGCCTGTTCCGTCCTCCTTTCATCCTTGCTTTGCCCAAGCCAAGTGGTTATTCACACCCCCAGACGCTACACTGTAGCCCCCTTACTGCAGGAATATTATATACATAACCCAAGAAAAACCAATATTTTCATTTAGGGCTTTAAGGGGAGTATCGTGCACCCCTCAATCCATACAGGCCATCGCCTCGGCCCGCAAAGATGCCGGCCTGAGCGAGCATTTCAAGCTTCCCATGCCATGCACTCTGGACGCCATCCACCAGGCAGGGGTTTGGGGTTGAGAGTTTAGGGTTCAGGGTTTGGGGTGTGGGGTTTAGGGTTTGGGGTTGAGGGTTTGGGTTGTTAGAATTTAGGGTTGAGGGTTGGAGGTTTAGGTTTTGGGATTCACCAGCTGTTCTTCAGACAATACACGAGATGATTGAAGCACCCGAGCTGCCCGGAGGCGTGTGGCGTGACATCTTCGCAGTTTCAATGCTAGGCCTGCGAGGCCTGTGAGGCTTACGCGGCCTGCGAGGCCTCACATGACTGGGCGTTTTGGTCCTGCATGTGTCGTCCAAAAACAGGCTCAAAGTGTATAGACTTTTGGAGTTAGACGTTGCATCCCCTTTAGCAAAGTGGAGTGCAGTTCCGTGCGAAAGAGGATGCGAGTCAGTGCAGCGACGAGTTCTCGTGCGCAACAAGTGCCTGATCGGAATAACTGCTACTAGTATTCCCTTATGGTCCTTGTTATAGATATAGAATAATACCCCCGACCCCCCCCAAAAAAAAACACAATAAATAAAATCCCTGTTCTAACTATGAAGGCCCCAAAAGATTTAGGAGCCGCAGCATGGCAACGGGCTCGTGATCGCACAGGGCCACTGACCTCAACTGCAAGCAAGAACGGCATGGGAGTTGCATCCTTGCATCCTTCTCTAGGGTTTAGGGTTTAGGGTTTAGGGTTTAGGGTTTAGGGTGTAGGGTTTAGGGTTTAGGGTTTAGCATGGGCATTATGCCCTATAACCACCTTTATAGGGTTGCTTATGGGGATTTATAGGGCCTAATAGCCCATCCTGGTAGGTAGGCTTTTGATGCAAAGCACGAGGCAGTGATGCAGAGCCACGCCTTGGGCTAAGGCCCAGGAGCGCACACAACCCGCACAGAGCAAAGACCGGAACATGCGACGAGGGCTTCCGACTGAATTTCCCGCGGAGTAATGGAGCCCACTCGTGGTGAAAGCGCCGATGCAGCGGCTTGCGGCATCCCTCCTCCAGAGGCCTAGAGCTCAGCATGCCAATGCGTGGTCACCGAAGAGCGCCTAAGGCCTCTAGACTATCCCGAGACTATCGCTAGACGATCCCTAGACTCCCTAGACCCCCTAGACCATAATAACAATGAATTTGATAAAAAAAAATATAGAATTATTTGAAGCTATTTTTTGAACCCTAAAACCCCAAACCCTAAACCCCAAACCCCAAATTAAACCCTCAGCAGCCCAACCACAAAGTTGCTGGCCATCCCCAAGTCGCCCAAGGGCACGTCTGCGAAAGAGCTCCGCGCGGAGCTACAGCAACTTGACACCGAGCTCGCCGAGGTCCGCGGGGGTCTAGGGGGTTTGGGTTTTAGGGTTTAGGGTTTGGGGTTTGGGGTTTAGGGGTTGGGGTTTGGGGTTTGGGGGTTAGGGTTTTTAGGGGTTTAGGGGTTTTAGGGGTCTAGAGTTTAGGGGTTTAGGGGATTAGGGGTTTAGGGTTTAGGGGTTTAGGGGTTTAGGGCCTAATTAGAGTCTAGGGTTGAGGGCAGTTTCGGGTGCCCTTATCATGGGATGTTCTGTGTGGCTGTAGGACACCAAAAAGGCATGACTGGGATCGACCACCATCTCGAGATAAGACATGGGGCCTGGCACTCACTGAGCTCCGCCGGGTGCCCCTTCACCTGATTCCTGCCTCTCTTGTTGCCTGCGCCACCCCGAAATCCTATAGGGTTCCCTGGCCCTCAATGCATCAAAGGCTTACATGAGTCCCAACAGCCTAGCTCCAAATCCTAAATCAAACCCCAAATCCTTGGAACGATCCGCCGCAGGCCACGTTATTCTTGCAGCAGCAGCGGCAGGCCTTCACGGACCAGGTGCCTTAAACCGTAAACCCCAAAAGAAGGCCTTTGTGGGGTTCTGGGCCTAGGGCGCGAAGGATGCTGGAGGTCCTGACAGGCTCGCAACTGGAGTCGGGCACTAAACCCTAAACCCTAAACCCTAAACCCTAAACCCTAAACCCCTAAACCCTAAACCCTAAACCCTAAACCCTAAACCCTAAACCCTAAGCCCTAAGCCCTAAGCCCTAAACCCTAAGACCCTAAGATCAGGATGGTGGTCCTGCCAAGGCTGCCTTTGCTGGAAAGCGATCTTGCCATGCGTCAGGTGGCGAGGCAAGATCATCAGCGTGCCAGAACTGCAGAAGAGGCCAGCTTCTGCACGATAGAGCCGGAATCGTCTCTGTTTTGCAGGGTATTTGTGGCAAGCAGTGTAGGATCTCAGTTAAGGTCGCTTGTAGGGTCCTCTAGAGAATATGTCAGCCTTATGAAGGACTTTCAGAAGGGACCCCATTTACAGAAGCACCGAAACCCTAAACCCCAAACCCTCGACCCTAAACCCCACGCAGTAGCGGCCGAAGACAGCTACCTCGATGTAGCCACGGCTCCACAGGTCAACATGGCCCTGCAAGAGCTGGAGGCACCTGAAGCTTAAGTGTAGGGTTTGGGGTTTGGGGTTTGGGGTTTGGGGTTTGGGGTTTGGGGTTTAGGGTTTAGGGTTTAGGGTTTAGGGTTTAGGGTTTAGGGTAAGGGGTTTGGGGTTTGGGGTTTAGGGTTTAGGGTATCCGGTTCGGCTGGTGCTTCGCTGCACACGTTTGCTGGCAGGCTGAGCGAAGGCAGATGGATGAAACTCACAGACAGCTGGAGTCTGAAACTGCGGCAGCGGACTTAGTTCTGGTCTTAGGGTTTAGGGTTTAGGGTTTAGGGTTTAGGGTTTAGGGTTTAGGGTTTAGGGTTTAGGGTTTTTGGTTTTTGGTTTTTGGTTTAGGGTGTTTAGGGTTTAGGGTTTAGGGTTTAGGGTTACGTGCGAATGTCTGTGGACTTGAAAATGCATCCATGCACGTTGCAAGTTCAGAATCATTCTGCCCTACGCCCTCAACCCGGGCTCAGGAAGCCAAGCGATTGGAGGCCCTGCTTGGAGCCCAGCTTTTGGGTAAGTGAGCTTGCTGTCCTCAGGGGAATTTCGATGTACAGACACCTTTGCCCAAACCCTAAACCCTGAAACTCTGACACTTCTGATCTAGGGTTTCAGGGTCGCAGGGTGAGGCCATACCCCAAGCCCCAAACTCCACAACAAGCTGTGGGGAAAAGAAGCCACCGAGTTTGCTAAACCCTAAACCCTAAACCTAAACCCTAAACCCTAAACCCTAAACCCTAAACCCTAAACCCTAAACCCTAAACCCTAAACTGCAAGGTGTGCGGAGTTGGAGGCCCAGCTGGTGTCCCGGTTGCACAGCCCAGGCTTCAGAGTCTGAGGGTTTACGGTGAAGTAACCGGGTTCAGGGTTTAGGGTTTAGGGTTTAGGGTTTAGGGTTTAGGTCTGCTCATTCAACATGCTGGACAAGTAACCAAACCCTGAGCCCTTCCAACCCTAAACCCTAAACCCTACACCTCCAATGGCGCCCTGCTATAAAACCTTTCACGATACTAAGTCTCTCTCCATGTAAGGGAGACTGCTGGAGGGGACCCTTACAAGGGATGCCTGGGGTTATGTAGGGGCTGCGGCTTGGGCTTCGGGTGGCTAATCTGAGGGTTTAGGGTTTAGGGTTTAGGGTTTAGGGTTTAGGGTTTAGGGTTTAGAGGGAGAGATGGCCTAGTAATTAGGATCCAGGATCCTCTCCAGGGCTCCCTTCTGGCATTCCCTAGCTGAAGCGGTCCCAGATCCCTGCAAAAGAGCCGAGGACATAGCACCGAAGGGCAAGTCAGACTCGTCGGAGGTGCCTATAGGGTTTATTGAAATTATTAAGGGTTCAGGTCCGGGGAAGTTTCGAGGAGTTTCGCGGAGTTTCTGTTTTGGATTGTTGTTTAGAAGTTTCAAGTTACAGGGGCTTGAGGGTTTAGGGTATAATGTTGGGTTTAGGGTTAGGTTGAAACCTTTGAAAAAAGGGCTTCAGATTCTCTGGTTTCAAGGGTGAAGACATGAACTCGGAATCTCCATCGGAGTAGCTAAACCATGGTTACTTCAACGGCCATCTCGTACAACGACGATGATGATGATGATGATGATGATGATGATGAGGATGGGCTTGGCGAGTACCATCGTTCTCTTCACGAGCTTCCCGCGCTAGGGGTTATAGTCATAGTCAGACCAGGCGCCTCCCACAGAACCGCTGGCGCGAGAATCCCTGGAGCGTACCCCGCCGGGACAGTTCTGCAGAGTATCCCGGAAGTGCCACCCTGAAAGAGTCTCCATACCCCTAAACCCTAAACCCTGAACCCTGAACCCTAAACCCTAAACCCTAAACCCTAAACCCTAAACCCTAAACCCTAAACCACACCAAAGAAAAGCCCACACGCCAAGACTCTGAGACCAGGAGCTAGCGGAGCTCGAGGCGGCGGTTGCCCAGGCTGCTTGGGTTTAGGGTTTAGGGTTTAGGGTTTAGGGTTTAGGGTTTAGGGTTTAGGGTTTAGGGTTTAGGGTTTAGGGTTTAGGGTTTAGGGTTTAGGGTTCAGGGTTTAGGGCTTAGGGTTGAGGGTTCAGGGTTTACGGTTTAGGGTTTGGGGTTTTGGGTTCAGGGTTTGGGGTTTGGGTGGGGTTTGCAGGTTTCGGGTTTGGGCTTTAGGGTCTGGGGTCTTAGGGTTTCTAATTTTGGGTTTCGGGTGGGTTGTCTTGCTGCTGCTTAGGGGAGTGGGGGAGAGAACGTCGGTACTACTCGCAGTGCGAACTGAAACACCTCGGCTTTGATAGCAAATGTGGCGGTAACAGCCCCTGCAAGACGCGCCAACGAAGGAGGAGGAGGAGGAGCAGCACAAATAACCATCGAGGCAGTTGACCAGAATCTTTGCCATCAGCTCTGATCGTATAACGATGGAAGTCCCAGAAGCTCCCTTAAGGTAGGGTTTAACCCCAAAACCGAAACCCTGAGCCCGAAATCCTCAAAAGTTTGAAGCCAGGAGAAGTCGCTGTTACAACATACCGAGGACCGGCGCGGTGCCTACAAAAGCACAGAATTCGCACGCTCGGCTTCTGGTTGCAGAGATTGTCGCTCCTGCAGTGCTCAGCCTTTCCTCGGAGCCCTTGCCTACCGGGCTTGAGGGTATCAGGGTCTCAGGGTCTCAGGGTATCAGGGTTTAGGGTTTAGGGTTTTGGAGCCAGTTCCTTGGTTTTTGACTTGTGGGGCAAGTTGTTTGGACTCATCATTGGTGGCACGAAGTGCTGCCATCAGCGCAATCCTAAGCCGCGTGCATTTCCTCGCGCACATTACCCCCACAGAATCATGCTCGCATCACATACCGGCTCTTGCCCAGCTAAGACTGAACCTCGATCAAACAGCCCCCAACGAAAAGCACTTTCGACAGCTGGATACCAGCAAGCGAGATGTGACTTGAGGCTGGCGTCTGCGGCGGTAGAGAGATCCTCTTTGCGGTCAGCAGTTGCTGCTGCTGAGGCTGGGGCAAGGAGTGGCATGAGTGCTGGACCCGTGAGCAACCCTTGGGAAGTTTGTGAGCAGAGGCTCGCGCGCCTTTGCGGGAAAAGCCTGCGAAGGCGGGTTCCTGCTCGCTTGGAAGGTGTTGGACGGTGAACCCCAAATCCCCGAAGCCTTTGGGCATCTAGAGTTTAGGAGTCCTCAACCCCAAACAAGGGCTCCCAAGCCCCGTACGGTCAGCCATTCGCGATCCGAGGCGCTGGCCAATGAGATGCGCTCTGCCTTGGAAGAGATGGCAGCTGAATCCTTGAGGCAAGCGGAGGCCGAAGACAGGGAACAAAGATGGGCCCTGAACCCTGAAAGAACGTGAGTTCATGGGAACACTATTGTAAGTATTGTTAGCACTGGTCATTCGAAACATGTGAATGATGTTAAAACGATTTGAACAAAGATGTTGTTTTACAATATCATCATGAAGATTAGTCTTCACATTACTAGTACTGCAATACTAAGGTTCATAAACAGGAACATGGAAAATGACATGAAAAAACATGTTGGCAGTATTCGTATGTTGAACACTAGTGCTTTGTTATCATGTAAATATTAATGAGGCAAAGTTGATCAACAAAATTCGTAGCATTGATTTGAAAAGGGCAGACGAATCAAGCCCACTGTCTCCCAATGACACGAGTCTCAACACCGCCAACTCCAAGCGAGCATCGGTCGGATGCGTTGATGGTTGCCATGCCGCAAGCTTACGGAGTATCCCATGAAGCTGCCTTAAAGCATTGTATTTCTATTCTATTCATGTTTGTTACGTTAAATTGTTCTTACATCAGGATATCTTGTAAGGCTCAGAACATTATAAGTAGTATATCCTTATGTCATTCTATCCTTATACCTTGTAAAATTCAGAATATTATCTATATTGGGAATTTGTTATTCTTCTTCTTATTATTCTGGTCATTTTTGAAATAGTAGTAGTATATTTGTATATCTTGGAAAAGTTAAGAAGTCGGCAGACGACAAGCAATCTGTCGCTGAGAAGCCGGGCAGCACAATTCGCTGGGAAAGCGCAGAAGCCGGGTTTAGTGTTTCGGGTTTCGGGTTTGGGGTTTAGGGTTTGGGGTTTAGGGTTTAGGGTTTAGGGTTTAGGGGTTGGGGTCTGGGGTTTAGGGTTTAGGGTTCAGGGTTCCTTCTGTTGCAAGACAAAGCTGAACTTAGCCAGCAGGATGCAAGTACTCTGTTACTTTAACCCCTAAACCCCAAGCGTTTAATCCCTAAGCCCTAACGAAAGGCCAGAACCACCCCCAAAACCCAAGCGTTGCCTTCTCCAGCAGGCATTCCAAGCCCGCGTGGAGCAGCGCCTCGAGGACTGCTTAGGATTTAGGGTTTTGGGGTTAATTAGGATTAATATACCTTCATCGGAATTATATAAGTATAGGGTATGTAATCCCATTTTGGGGGGGCTCTGTTGGTTCGGGATTGGGCTTGGGGCTTCGGGTTTGAGGTCGTTCTGGTGACGGATATCTCAAGCCATTGGGTTACCATCAGAGAGCTTCTTAACGCTGAAACTTCTCGAGGCCTCAACCCAACCACCCTCCCCCCCTTCCCCTCAATCCGTAAACCCTAAACCCTGAACCCTAAACCTTAAACCCTAAACCCTAAACTCCCTTGAACAAGGGGCCTTCGCTGCATTGCACAGGATGCTTCTTTCCGCACCAAAGCTGTTGCGGAGAAGGCCTGGCGGCTTTGGGGGACTCGAGATTCCCAGAGGTCCCTGAAGGTCTAGGGGTTTATAGGGGTACAGGGTTGACAGGATTCTACAGGGTTGTTAGGGTTTGTATAGGGTTGCTTATATAGGGCGTATAGGGTTAATAGGACTCAGCCTAAAGCTTGAGCCCTATGAACTAGACCCAAGTCCTACACCGTAAAGTTTGGGCTGTTGCTGAGCTAAGCAAACTCTGACTCTGAGCTCTCTGCAGTGCTAAGAGTGCTCGACCAGGTCAACCGCGTGAAGGCCCACCGCATGTGGGCAGCAGCCTCAGACGACTGTCCCAAAAGTGCTCTCAGCACCTAAACCCCGACCCCATGTTGGCACTTTGGGATAGCAGGCTCAGGCTTTAAAATTCGGGTGGGGCTTCAAAGGTCTTGGGGGAGGGCAACAAATTCACTGCCTCTGGAGTGATACAGCATTTTTTGTCCGCTGTCCTCACCCACCCTAACCTGTGCTGATGCCGTGCCTATATTACCCTAAACCCTAAACCCTAAACCCTAAACCCCAAACCTAAAATTTGCACCCCACATGTGCGCCGAGCAGAGGACCGTGAAGTGGCTGCACTCTTGGATGCTCTTCAGGAGGCCCTCGGACTCCGCGATTTCACAGTTTTAAGTGAGACCAAGCTACGAGGGCGCAGGTTGAGGAGCCATGCATATAGCGCCATATCTAGTGTAGTTGCAAAGGCAAGATGATTCTTCTTGTTCGCTCATATATCTTAAGCGCGGCCCTGTGGCCCTGTGGAAGGCAGAAGGCATCACTTCCCAACAGCTCCAGCTGTTGGAGTGCAGTCCACATGGGCCCGCTGGAGAAGCCGCTCGTGAGGCGGTCGTCTTCGGGTTCGGGATGGGTGTTACCAGAACCATGTTGCAACCCCTAACCCTAAACCCCTAAACCCTAAACCGACTAAAACCCTAAACCCTAAACCATTTTTTGCGTTTCTGAAGGTCGCGGCCTTGCGCCACAGCGTCGCCAGCGAGCTCAGGGCGAGCTTCACGCAGGCGTTCCGGTAAGACTGGTGCAGACGGAAAAGAGTTCAAGCCGTGCCAACTTGAAACCATGGGTTTAGGGTTTAGGGCTTAGGGTTATATAGGGGTTCAGGGTTTAGGTTTTCCGGTGTAGGGCCATCCCGGGTCCTTTCCTTGGTGCCCTTATAAGCCACGCCAAAACGATAGCTTAGATCAGCTTAGATCAGCCAGCCGCCTCCCCCCCCCCCCCCCCCCCCCCCCAATGGTTCCCCTATTGGGGGAGCCTTCTATGGGTACGACCTTAGGACCTTATCCCGCGTTGCCCAGTCAAGTTTGAGTCTATGCACTTGGGCCCTGGGCTAAGCTAGATGCTAGACCGGCCAAGATTTAGGGTTCAGGGTCGAATTTATATGCATCTGTGGGCTTAGGCTTTTTGGTGTTGAGCATGTATGAGGCAACATCTTAGCAGCCTGCGTTATCAATACCGCAGCACTTGTACGTCGCGTTGCTGACAAAACTTTGGTAGGACGCACTTCTCATGGGAAGTCTTGATTAAGAAGTGATCTCAGCTTTGTTTTGTCTGTACACGTAGGGTCCTGCTTGCTTCATTGATGGTGTGAACACACATGAAATCTGTGTCGCGCACGGCAATGCATTGGAAGTTCATGCATGTCATGCAAAAAGCTACCCACACATTGAGATTTCTCATGGGGCCCAGTATCTTTGAGGTGACCAGATCCCTTCCGCACATCCGCATGCTCGGGAATTCATGTCGCTCGCGTTGAGAACTGGGAATGAGCGCGGATGTTCAGACTTCACGTGGTTCATCGCGAAGGTCGTGATAGCTTCAAGCGAGCTTCATAGTTACTTGTGTTGAGCTCTCAAGGTCGCAACCTTCGGGGTTATTGGCCACACCAGCATGTTGTTTCTCACAGAGGGGTCTGTTCGATAGTGCAGACAATGCTGGAAGTGATACCCCACAAGATACCAGTGCCATGGCAAAAAAGAGATTTGCATTCTGCATACTCTGCCCGGTGCCTTACTCTGATTGTGCCGTACATCTAGTACGCCATGTGCGTGGAGTGTAGTGGCCCCAGTACTTAGGCAGGACATGTTGACGTTGGAAGACTTCTTGGAGCCCGCTGGGGCCCTAGTGGCGGAGGGTGTGGGGTTATCCGTGACGTGCGCCCGAGAGCCCAGGCGAGTGACCTTGTCTTTGATGTTTACTTTGCAGGAGGCTCATAGACGCGGGCCCTTGTGAACTCGCTCATGGCACCTTCGAAGCATGAGGCGCTGTGGGGAATGCTGGCGACGGCAGGAGGCTCCCTGACCTTCGTGGCTTTGGTGGTGCTGACTGAGTGGCTGGAGCATCAAGAATGGCCGGCCTTTGCTATGCTCGGCAGTGCCGGCTTCATCCATGGCCTCGCCTTGCTGGTCTATTTGCTGTTGCCTAAGATCCGAAAGCGTGCGCAGTGGCCCAGCTCCCTGAGCATGAAGATCTGGACCTTCGCCCGGGGATTCGCCAGCATCTTCGCGCTGGCTTGTACAGTCTTGGCCACCTTCTTTGGCTGTCCAGCGGGTGACACGATGGCGCTTTCCAGCACCAACGTCTTCGCATCGGCTGTGGCTGGATGCTTGGTGGCCCAGTGGTATACCCCTTACCCTTTTTTCTGTGGTTTTGGGTTCCCTTATCAAGAACCAACCCCAAAAATGGGTGCCCTTACTGTGCTGTGGTTGCTGGGGCTACCAAGGATGGTTGCTCTTCGGAGAGGCCTTTGGCAGACTGAGGGTCGCGGCGCTTCTTGCCACTGGCTTTGGGGCAGTGTTGGTTTCGAAGCCAGAGCAGCTCAGGTGGTGATTGGAATGGAGTTGTTTTTAATGACATGGGTTGCCTTCCATGCTGGCATCCCCAGGCTGGTCTTGGTGAATTTGGCCCCCTCCGTGTTTACAAGGAAGAGCCTTCCTACTTGTATCCTATCTGGGAGTGGAAATCCTAACTCTTCAACCCCCTAACCCTAAAGCCTAAACTCTTGTGAAATCCCTAAACCCTAAACCCCAAACCTAAAACCCCAAACCTAAACCCTAAACCCACCCTAAACCCTAAACCCTAAACCCTAAACCCTAAACCCTAAACCCTAAACCCTAAACCCTAAACCCGAAATAAACCCTAAACCCTAAACCCTTACCTTTACACATCTGGGTCAGCAAAAAGGTTTATCTTCACCACTGTGAAGGAGCAGCCTTACCTCGGCGACTTGCAAGTTTTTGCAAGGATCTTCAGTGATTGGTTTCAAGTAGCTGTATATACGACTGAGGCGTATATACAAGAGGATGTCTTGGGCCGTGGCCTGTTTATCTGCTTTTAATTGGGGTTAATTACGAACGAAGCCCAGATGAGGATTTCTTAGGTTGTGCCTTGTTAATACAAAACCCAACTGACCCCCAAAAAGGATTTCAAACGACGTGGCCTGTGTTGGGTTGATTTAACTGCGAATGAGGCTCATAAGATGATATCTTTGGGTGTGGCCTGGCAACACGAACCATTATCTCTAGCAGATCTACTTGCGCACGAAGCCCTGGTGAGAATTTCTTAGCATGCGAGCTTCTTATATACAGCCATGCTGAAATACATCAAGGAGCAAACCCAGATGAGGGTTTCTTAGGCTGCAACCTTTGAAAGCCCTATGAGAGTTTGTGGCGGACCAGGCCCCAGAGAAGATTTCATAAGGTGTGGCATTTAATTTAACATCCAGGCAAACCTAACTGCAGGCCCAGACGAGGATTATGACAGTGTGGCTTTTGAGAATTTCGATGTCGAATTAAACTTCTTTACATGAGGCCCGAGAATTTCTCAGAGGAAGATCCTTTAGGGTGTGAGCTGTGAATGCAAATTTCTATTTGGGCTTGAATGTGAATTTAAAGCCCAGAAGTGAATGTAAGTTCTCATCCGACATAAAGCTGAACGAGGCCCAAATGATAATGTTTTGGGGTGTGGCTTGTTAGTATGAGGTTCCAACCAAAAGTAATGCCACCGGAAGTGCAACACGAACCAACCCAAATCCTGGTGGCCCATGAGAGAACCTACTGCGGGACGGGTGATTGGGACTGTACAGCACTTTTGGCGTCCAGTGTTGTCCCAAAAAGCCAATCCCAAAGAGCAAAAACGCTGTACTGTCACCAAAAACACCCATAGACCAATCTTTTGGAACCTCAAGGGCTCTCGCAGCTGGCAGGCCTAAAAGACTCGGACAGTACAGCATTCTGGCTCTTTGGGGTTGGTTTTTCGGGGCCCCACAAAGTTTGGGACAGTACAGCACTCTTGACGTCCAGGGTAGCAAGGGTGCTGTCCCCATAAAACCAATCCCTAGGACCAATACTGTCCGAGTCTTTTACATCTGGCTTGCTCTTTGAAGTTCTTAAGATGCCATCAAAATACAGCCTGGCCATGTATTGCACAACAATATGAAGTTACCAGACAGCCGAGGCTATTTGTTTGCCGCCGTGTCAGGCTTGGGCTTGTGTGGTATGGTCGTATGCTGCAGAAAGCTCGGTAAGGAGGTGCGGGCTGCAGGGTTTTGGTCTTAGGGGGCTCGGGTCCAAAAGCACTGAATTCAATACCTTCAAACCCTAAACCCTAAGCCCATTCAAACCCTGAACCCAAAACCCCAATGGCCCAAAGCTGCAAACCCTAACCCCAGCACAGGTGTCACCCCTGATTTCTACCCTTTCCGCCAGCTTGCAGCGCGGTGCCATTCTGCTTCTCCTAGCGGCTTTGCCGATGTGGGAAACAGACCTTGGCTCCACCATCGACAAGCTTAGCCATCATCCTGGTGACTTGTCTTGCGGGTTTAGGGTTTATAGGGTTTATAGGGTTTAGAGGGTTTATAGGGTTTATAGGGTTTACAGGGTTTATAGGGTTTATAGGGTTTATGGGGTTTATAGGGTTTATAGGGTTGATATGGTTTATAGGGTTTATAGGGTTTATAGGGTTTATAGGGTTTATAGGGTGTATAGGGTTAGGGTTCAGGGTTTAGGGTTTAGGGTTTAAATCTAGGATGTAGGATTAGGGATCTCGAGACAAAAGCGCCCAAAGGCCATGAAATGAGACAGCAATGTTGCATGGATCTCCCCCCAGGCATTTGTTGCATCGTGCTCTTTACAACCAAGGCTGGGCTGTGCTGTGGGTGCTTATTCTGACAGTTCTGATTGCTTCGCAGACGACTTTGCTGAGCGTCGGCTTTGCACTGGCGCCTACAGGCGTCAGTGGGGTCATCGTGACATGCTGCGACATTCTCTTCGGCTACATTGGCCAGATCGCCGTGTTTGGCATCCTCCCTGATGCAGTGACGCTGGCCGGAGTCGTTCTGCTCTTGGGTTCCGTCCTGATGATTACCATGGAAACGGCCAAAACCCACCCGCCCCCAGAAGTGGCGGGCGACACTGGAACATCAAGCAGCCAGCCGGAGAAGAATGAAGCTCCCCCCGTGGACAAAGAAGGGCAACCACCTGCGCTGTGAGAGCCCCCACAACCCTTTTTGTGGCCGGCTGATTTTTAATGCTGGCACCGTGTAACGAGTCTTTCGAGCGAGAGCCTCATCTACTGCCTTGGCAGTAGCTGGTCAATCTTCAAAATCACCGGCTAAAACTCTAAGCCCCAAACCCTGCTCAGATGACTCTGATTCCAGCAGCAAAATTTTGATGGAGCTCCGAGGCCCTTCCTTCTTGGCCCGGTCAACTGTCAGGATAGATTTAGGATGCTGCTTGAGCAGAAGCCTGGGTTGCAGACCCGCTTTCCATGCCCAAGTAGCAAAATGTGGCCTTGTTGGATATTGCAGCTTGCGAGCGCTTCATTCTCCAGACCCCAATTATTTTGCGTGCTGTCTGAAAAGCTCGTGCTGAGAATGATCCAGAGGGCTGCGGTCGTTGGCTCTGATGTCAATATTGGCCCCTGCGTTCCAACAAGTGTCTTTGCAGGTCTCCTGAGAAGCCTACGAAGAAGCTCCCAACCTGACAACCCCTAAGCCCTACAACCTCAACCCTCAGGGGGTCTGTCTAGCAGTCCACTCCACACCCGCTTTGGCTTTCCGTTCCGTCTCCTTGACAAAGACCACTCCAGCTTTGAGGCGAAACATGTGTTGGTTTGGGCAACAGCCTTGGATGTAAACAGCCCAAGTCACTGCAGAGAAACTCAGGCCAACGGGGCTCTTTAATCCCTGTCCTGCCGTAGAAGCTATCTGTCCTCACCATGGGCAACAAGTAGCTTACCCACCCTAATCCTAAACACTAAACCCTGAGTCATGGGGTGGGGTGAGGGTGGGGGGATGATTCTTACCCCTATAGTAGCCAGACGGGGCTGTTCTAGTAGTAAGCTTTGTGGAGGAAGCCAACTCATCGGGTGCGTGCTGTTCCATGTCACATGTGATGTCGTAGCCCCCTAAACCCTAAGCCCTAAACCCTAAACCCTAAACCCTGAACCCTAAACCCTAAACCCTCAACCCTAAACCCTAAACCCTTTGCCAAGGTTCCAAGATGTGCCAAAGAGGGCCCCGAAGTGGCCCTCTTGGCTTCCTTGGCCAGCGACTGGCCATTCTGAAACGGTTTAGGGTTTAGGGTTCAGGGTTTAGAGTTTAGGGTTTAGAGTTTAGGGTTTAGGGCAACATGACCCTGCACATCCCTGCATTTTGTGAGGATCGCGGCTGCCGGCTACCTCGTGTTGAGGTGCTTTGCCGGGCGTGCGCTATGGCCATGAGACACGGCTATGGCCCCATGGCTTCTCCAAATGCCTTGAGCCGTCGGCTCTGGATGTGTTGAACAATGGGCCGGCACAAACGTAGCGAAGCCGCAGGGTTTCTTGAAGCAGCCAACAGAAAGCATGGAGAAGCATCTTCTCTTATCGCGTGCTTAGGATTCTAAGTGCCATGGCTGAGCTGGAGCAGCGGCTACAGCGCCTGGAGCTGCTTCTCGAAAACAATCTCGCTGCCCGCGTGAGCGAGGATGTGGCCGGAATCCAGTACCAGCTGAAGATGGTCCAAGATCGCCTCCTCACTGTGGAGAAGCAGCTGGCGATGGATTTGCCACCCAAAGAAGAGGATGAGAGCCAGGAGCACGAGGTGAAGGTGGAAGAGCCAGTGCAAGCAATGGAGATGGCGAGGCATTCCAAGAACAGGAAAAGCGTGGTGAGCGAGGCAAGGCTACAGCATTCTTTGCAAGACTCTTTCTGGGATGCACCTATATCCTCCTTGGGAATCATTTTTTGTTGTATAAAACCCATTAAAGATATTTTTTTTATTAAGGTTCTAAGGGGAGTATAGGCACTACTCATTCTGGGTCTGGACGAGACTGGCTGTCTTGGGTCCCTGATGATCTGCCTTGGGTTCGGAATCTGCTTCGGCATGCAGTTGCTGTTTTGCTGGGTCGTGTATGCATCATTCTTAGATGCTGATCCGAAGTATGACCTGGAGTACTTGAAGGAGTGGCGTGTGATGTACGGCCACAGCGTTCTCTACTATGACGGTGCGTCGGGTGCATCTTTGGTGAGCAAAGTGTGTGAAGGAACGTCATTCGACCAAGATTGGTGGAATCTTATGGGTACTTGGAAATAACTTTTACTATAACTCCGAAGACCTAAGAAACAGCGCAAATGATAAACTTTTTGCTGGGGTTCATATTTTTGGTACTATAACTCCTAAGAAACAGCGCAACAGATAGACTTTTTGCTGGGGATCCAAGTTCAGTGTAGGAACAACAACCTGCTCGGGGAGATCGGCGACTACTTGCAGCCCCTCTTCGGCCCCGCCTTCCCAAACGTCGGGGTTGGCGTGGTTCCTCCATCACCCCTTGGGGAATTCTTTTGTGTTTTTTTGGTTTATATAGAACCCAAGAGGATACTAAAAATGTTATTTTCATTTAAGGTCGTAAGGGGGAGTAGAGGTTCTGAGCAGCCTGGCAATCTCCGTTTGGTTGTGCCACGTTGCCGCAGAGCTTCAAGATGTGGGCCGCCTAGGCGTGGCACTGTATCGGCTTCCCCGAGGCGAGACACTGGTCGCACGCACACGCGAGGGTGAGCGCACGTTCCAGAGCATCAGCGGTTTGCGGCTGGCTGTTCAAAGTTTGGCTCTGCTTTGCCGTGTTGCGGTTGCCGTGCTGTTAGGCATGTCTGGAGCACTATGGCTGTGCAAGACTCGTGACACCACAGAAATTTTCCTGAACGCCGTAGCGCTGGACTTTGTGCTCGAGGTCGATAATGTGCTCTTCCGAGTACTGGCTCCCAGGCGAATGCTGCTGCAGATGCAATCAATTCAGCCACTTGATCTCGGTACCAGGAAGATGTGGCATGGCGTAGATGCCCAGAGTGTGCTCAAGCTGGTTGCATTGGTGGTGACTGTGTGCTTGTTCGTCTCCACAACGCTACAGAGCAATGCCGATGAGGCCCGTCAAGCTCGAGACATGCTTTGCGGCGGCAACAGAGACTTCGTGTATGGCACCCATCCTACTCTGGGCCCCATGTTCGTCATGGAGACGACCAACTTCAGCATGAGCACCAGCAGCAGCATCATGCCTGGTATGCAGCCCTTGGTCACGGAGGTGATCTTCAGCTTTCAGAAGGACCAGGTCGCCCATGAAATGTGGAGGAGCTCCATCGATGGAGTTGGCGATGTTGCGGTAAAGCGAGCCAGAGATCTGCAAGACCTTCAGGCTTCTTGGTAGCCCAGTGGTAACCTTTGCCCTTTTTTGTTGTTCTGGGTTCCCTTATACAGTAACCAACCCAAAAAAGGGTGCCCTTACTATGAGATGGTTTCTGGGCCACCTAAGGCTTGGTTGTCCCAATCAGACACGGAAGCTCCGGAAGAGACCGGGATGGGGAGCCGTAGCTACGGCACCCATTGCCAGGATCGTGGGGCCGACTTCTGGGAAGCAGACTGGCTGTGGCCCACTGTCAGGGCGTTGACAAATCAAAGTGTTACGGACTGCGAGAAGGCGCGGCCCTTCTGCGACCGGAGGGATCTGCCCCTGATCCGCATGCTCTGTCCCGAAAGCTGTGGCTGCATGTCACCAACTTCCGGTCTCTATGCGGACAACGGCTGCCGCCAGCAATGTCAAGGGGAAGACTTCTTTCAGTCTCAGCTGAACGCCTCAGAGTGTGAAGACCTGCAAGTTAGCGATGCTCGCCGTGAAGCCTGGAAGAGGTGGTGGAGTGGCTTCTACGACTACAACGTTTTCTGGTGGGGCACGGCGAATCCTATGATGGTCTTCGCCGATGAGGGTGCGGAGGGCAACTGCTCCTTTGTGAGTTCCGCCATCTGGATCGCGGAGCACGTTTGCAGACACGACGAGCGCCGGCCAGCGTCGATGTTCTGCCCAGTGACGTGTGGTTGCACTGGGCCCAGTTCGTCAGACCTGTGGTGCCCGAGAGCATGTTGAAACCGTGTGCACCGCAGCACATATCTTGAAGCCTCAAATGTCGACAAACTGCCGACACGTTTCCAGTCTTAACTCGCTGTTCTGATGGTTTTAGGCGTTCGAGGGTGGTGTTGCGAAGCAGCGCCTACCTGAGAGCTGACCAAGTGAGACTCAACAAACAGTTCTGGTGTAATCGGGGGGTGGGGGGCGGCGGGGCCACAGCCCAGCACTTGCTGCTTTCATTCGGTAGCTTCATGGCGTCAACCAGTAGACAGAACAATGCCTATTCAAAGGCTCATGCAGAATGTAGACAGGCACGACCTCAAACCTGCAATCCTGCTTCTGTGGCCGAATCGTCAGGTGAACGAGGGGCCGCCTAAATGTATGGGGCTTCCCGCGAGCCAGATCTTGAGAAGGCCCATGCAAACAGCGGGAAGTGACCGTCCTTAGACATGGGTGTGGGGTCCATCTGGGGTCGTGGTTGCGGAACAGATGCCCTAAACCCTAAAACCCGAAACCCTAAACCGTGAATTTTTGATTGTTGATTTGGGCTCCTTCGCAGCAGTCCTCTACCGGTATAGCCTTGAGGACTAGAAACGGCCCTGTGCCAAGTCGCACACATGCACATCTAGGCCCCAGAGTAGGCAATTATTCCTTCTTCTCATTTTTTTTTTTTTTTTTTGGGGGGGGGGGGGGGGGGTTGGGTTCCCTTATTGCCCCCTTTGAGCCACAATGAGGCACCCCTTTCTATTCCTGGTTTCTCCTGGGTCTCGACATGCAGGTTCCTTCAGATCATGCCTTGACACCAGGTAGCGGTCAGGGGTGGATTTAGGGTTAGGGTTTAGGGTGTTGGGTGTAGGGTTTAGGGTTTAGGGTTTAGGGTTTAGGGTTTAGGGTTTAGGGTTTAGGGTTTAGGGTGATTAAGACCTTATAGAGGCGCCCCTTGGAAGTGGGCCTCTCAATCGGCTTCCAACTTCGGAGATGAATCCTCCAATCATCCTCCAATTTTGCTTCAGCAGCTATCCCTAAAGCCTAACCGTAAACAATAAACCCTAAACCCTAACCCCTGACCCCTAAACCCTAAACTCCAAACCCTAAACCCTAAACCCTAAACCCAAAACCCTAAACCCTATGTGTTGAGGTTAAAGAAAAAGGGTCAATGTGCCCGGTATTATTGGCTCAAGACTGGGCCATGCGCCTGGTAGCAAAAAGAAGTTTCGAGTCTTTGGTGTTTGCTGGTTGGTTCAGGGTGAAACCTCTGGCGACTGTTGGGGTTGATCCCTTTCCCCTTTCGGTTGCCCCCGTAGGTTATGAGCCCAAATTAGGCTTCCTGCGGTATAGGTAAGATTTTACGCTTGTTTAGCGCAATGGACATGATGCGGCGTCGGTCGGAACCTGGACTGTCATCCGCGGCCAATGAAGCCGAAGAAAATCGTGGTGATGGGGGTGAAGAACGACAGCAAGTAGTGCAAGCACTGACAGATGGTAGGGAAGTTGCAGTGATACAACAAACGTCTCAGGTGGAAAATGAAGTGGTTCCGTTCCCAGCAGCGAATCCTTTCTGGAGCGAGCGGGCTCATGAAGAGATGAGACTGAGGCAATCAAGGCCGGCAAGTCTTCCTGCGAGCGGAGGGGATAGAAGTGGTGAAAATACGAGGAGGCCACCATCGGGATCGAGAACCTGCACCAGCTGAGAGGCCATCGTCAGGTTTAATGGGCCAGATGGAAAGAGGTAATATTGGTGAAACACAAGGCGAGGAAGAGCTTATTCCTGATCTGACTGGTGAAGAGCAAGGTGAAGATATGGCAGTGGTGAAGCGTGCACTCAAAGAGCTGTTGGTGCAGACAAAGGAGCTGGGAAACAGGTTGCATAGAGTGGAGGAGAAAAGTTATACCTCTGCTGCATCTGGGTCGGCTTCGCGAGCACGGAGCACTGGAGTGGTGGACGCAAATGCTGCGTATCCCTTGGGTATGACTCCAGAGAAACAGTATCTGCCAGGACAAGTTTTCTACACCGATGGTTTGGGTGGTTTTTGGACTGTGTCGCCTGATGGAGCATGGCTGCCGATTGAGGTTTACGACCTGCCAAGAGGTTGTGATCTTCAACCCTTGCCTGAGTCCAGGAAGGAGGATAGTAATGTGGAGGCCGAAAGAGAGGTGCCAATGTTGCATTTACCTGAAGGGAAGAAACCCTCCAGATTGCCTCCACTAAATTACCCCCTGGGAGGTTCGGCAAGTGGTGTGTATACAGGTGGTCCGCCTGGTTTGACACAGGTACAGACAGCTGCCTTGCCAGCAGGTGTTGACGGTTCTGCCGCACCTATGGCGAATCAGCCCGGTTTTATCTCAGCTCGAGAAACCGCAACACAGGAGTATGCTGAAGAGCCGGGTGGATATACAATGGTAGAAAACGTTCCGTATCGGTGGAAAATGACAGCTGGGAAGTTGGAATTAGAAAAGGTTCCAGTAGCAGCTTTTGCGCCTGGTATGGGACAGAGACTGCCTCAAAGGCCTAGTGGTGGTATCATTTTACCCCCTGGAGCAGTGGTGCCGCGAGGTGTGCCGATAAGTGGTGATAGTTCTGGAACTGAACGTCCGGAGGCTCTTGGAAAGCATGTGATGAGCCTTCCTACTTTGGCGGACTATGCGCCAAGCAATCCAACGGCACTAGGGGATTGGATCGCAATGATCGAGCCAATGTTGTCTTCGCTGACAGATACAGGAAGAGTGTGGTGGCAATGCGTCTATTCAAGGGCGTATAAGGCGTATACCAAATGGTTGAGTGTTTCTCCGCTGGAAAGGTTGGGCATCAAGACTGAGCTAGAAGGACTCAATGTAGTTCAAACTGCGCACGTTTTGTTGGAGCAGAGGGCAGTGTCTCTATTGCTGCAGGCGATTCCGGAGAGATTGAAGACGGAGATCGTTTCCACTCGAATGTTGGGATCAGTGATGATATTTTACAAATTGTTGACGGTTTACCAACCAGGTGGAGCAAACGAGCGCAGTACAATGTTGAACTTCTTGGTGCAACCATCTTCGGCTATCTCGATCTCAGAGGCCATTAAGGGAGTGCGTCAATGGGCGCAATGGCGTTCCCGATTAAGGGAGTTGCGAGCGGCCGAGCCGGACGCTACCTTGCTTATCAAAGGATTGGATGCTTTATCATCCGCATTGCTGGCAAAACACCCTACGGTTCACTTCAGAGTGGCATCCTTTCGGGAAAAATTGGGGGTGGACTACTCGCCGACCTCTGAAACTGCGACACAACTAGCTGAAATGTTACAAGCAGAGTTTGAGCTGCAATTGCATAGTGCTGGTGATCAAGAGGTGAAGCAGGACTCGGACGCCAAGAAAAGGGCACGGTTAAATAAGGCCCAAAAGGGAACTGGTGACGAGACAGAGGAGGGTGACAAAGGCAAAGGGAAAGGAAAAAGGTACAGCAGTGATGGTGAACGTCCATTCTGTTGGGTGTATGGGAAGACGGAAGCAGGCTGCAAGTTCGGGTCACGCTGCAAGTTTCGCCATGACAAAGACTCCCTGGAGCGTGGAAGATGTTTCGAATGTGGGGCCGTTGGCCATTTACAGCCGCAGTGTCCATATAAAGATGGTGCAAGTCCCAATGCGGACTCAAATTCCGAAAGGAATAAATTCAAAGGGAATTCTCCCAAAGGGGGAAAGGGCGGCAAAGGTGGAAAATGGGGTAGTGGCTGAAGGAGGTGAAGAGACTGCAAATGGGAGAACTGAAGGAGGTTCAGCAAGTCCTTCGACTCCACCAACGCCTAACCAATTCCTCACTGAAGCTCTTGAGGTGCTGAAAGCTTTGAAACTGTCACCTCAGCAGGCCGGCTCGAGCGGCGAACCTAGTATTCGCATGTTGTGTGATTCTGGGTTACTTCAACAAGGAGATAGGGTGGCTTTGGTGGACACAGCTGCGACACACCTTGCGCGGACGCTTTTTCCATGGGAATGTTTACCAGACACTACTGTTACGGTGCAAAGCGCGCTGGGTGGTGTGGAAATGAGGATTACAGAGAAAGGGACGTTGATTAGGGAAGACAATGGGCCCCTGATTATCCCTCTCTGGTTGATTTTGGAGTTTGGGGCGAACCTCACGGTGATCAATGGGATGTGTCACGTGGGAGCAAAATCTTCGCTGGACCAGCTCTTGTGGTTTGAACATGGCTGTTTGGTTATGGATTACAAAACAGCTGAGAATATGGTTTTGCATGCTGAAAGACAGTGTGCGTCTTGGTCCCATTCTCAATGGAGGAATGGAAGGGCGGACTGTGGAGTCGGTTCGTCGGATGCCACGTTGTTGCCGAAGCAGGGAGAAGGCCGAGGAGTATGCGTCCTACGTGTGGCCAGGGTTTCTGACACCAATGAGTGTTCGGGAATGGGCATGTTGGACTCGGGGGCATCACATCCTCTCAGATCACTTCGTCCTGGTGAACAGTTTCCGCAGCAAAAGGTGTTGGTGTCTTTAGCTGTTGGATCTCGGGAGATGAGTATTACCCCAGGTGACCCTGGTAACTCCTGAAATGGTAGATCCACTAGTGCCAATTGGCAAAGCGAGCGCCTTGGTTGGTCTCAGAGTACAGTGGCGTGGTGGCAAGTGCACAGCCTCACATCCTGTTCTGGGGGAACTTCGCGTTCGAGATCTGAATGGGTGCCCTTGTTTGGAAAAGGAAGTGGCGCTTCAGATCATTGATGAAATGGATTGGTGCTCACCAAAGCAAGCATTAAAGGTGGCACGTATGGTTCAAGGGTGTCCGAATACGGACAATGAAGTGGCCGTAAAAGCGTCGTTGCAAAGCGCAGCGCGGACAGCGTCAGCGAACGAGGAGGAGTTCGTCCAGGCTTGTTGGCGATTTCTTCGGTGGTATTATGGTGATGTACCAGAAAATATGCTGATGGAGCTGTTGCCACGTGGGGATATTGCTGCGTTGCCTTTCAACCGTCATAAAAGGCGACGGCTGGCACGAGCAAAAAGGGTGGTGGTACACCTATTTTCCGGGAAACAA